ATATGAATTTTATAATTTTTGATTGTATAATTAAGGATTTAAAAATTACCAAAGTTGAAATTTATAATAAAAACATAGTAAGTGGACTCAAACTTTTGAAAACAACTGTATATATATATAGTATATAAACAAACTTTTATTAAATATAGAGACTTAACTTTAGTAATATATTTTCCAATGTAAAGTATATATATGTTTAATAAAACATATATACAGTACTTAACTTGATAAAGAATATAAAAAAAAAAATAAAACAAACTTTTATTAAATATACTTATATATTTTAATAATATTATTAATAATTAAGAAAAAATTTCAAAGATATATTTTTTTAATTAAATAAATTTTTCAAAAAAACAATTATAATATTAAAAAATAATACTAAGTATATAATATAGTATAATGTTCTTATTTTTTAATAAGTTTTTCTGATATTAAAGAAGTTTTATTGAATAAAAATCAAGATTTTTAAGTCTCTATTTCAGTTAAACAAAGTTCTTAAAAAATTTTTTTTATTTTAATAATATTAATATCAATAATATAATAAGTAAATTTATATATTAGTAGAAAAATAAGTTTTTTAAATATAAGATCTGTAGATCAATAGTACAGTGGTAATTTTTTCAAGTCACAATTATTATATTTGTAGTTCCATATTACTTAAGAATCAAAAAATAAAAATTACTTTATAATTAAATTTATCTATTATTCTATAAAAGTTATACTCAATCATATAGAGTAAGTTTTAATCAGATTAAGTTACATAAAAATAGAAATTCTGATCTTTCGTCAATCAAGGACTAATATTTATAATCATACTATTGAAAAAATTATATAAAAAAAGGTTTCTTGTCTAACCTTTCACAAATACTTCAATTACCCTATTTTGACAATCTCCAAAATCCTTGCTCTTTTAGTTTAAGATATTCCAATATAGTACTTCCTTTAATTGAAAATCAATTAATAGTAATAATCTAATATTACAAGTAGTAACAAAAAAGATAATATGCTCTTTTCTGAGATCCATATGAATAATATCTGGAAGTATTATAAGATATAATATATCCTATCGGATATATATAGAAAGGACTAGTTTAGTATAATATAAAAAATATAAACTCAATATTAACTAGTCTAATATTACTATTGCTGATTGTATATTAATCATCCAGTTCTTAATTAAGTCTACCTACTCATGAAATAGTAATAGGTCTATCTAGGACAAACTATAATAGGTTATCATTAATCTGTATACATAAAAAAATAATAACTTGTATAATATAATTTATATTATGCTAATAGATTTAATTATCCTTCAAATGTTAAATTAATTATTAATAAAGAGCTCATATCTAATACCAGTTGCGATTTAGAAAAAATATAGGTTTTTAAACATTTTTCTTAAAGTCTTTTTACTTAAAAATAGATAAATTTCTCAAATGTTATAAAACTAGACAATTTTTTATCAAGCAAATCTCTTTTATAAGATTGTTGAAATAAAGTAAAAATCTTTTGAAAAAGCCTTGAATTGTTTTTTTTTTTCTTTCTCAATTATTTCAACAATTCATTGTTTTCAAGATAATCAATAACAACAAATTATTGACAATTATCCTGATAGAAGTCAAGTATCAAACTACTAAAAAGTATAATATTGTTCTTTAAATATGATTTAGAGTATCTAGTTGAAACTTAGTTTTATTTAATCCTAACTAGCTTAATGGACTCCTTATATTTTTTAATAATATGGTCTTTCAACTAACAATATACAAAAACAGGTTAGCCGTCATGTGAAAGTCCATGTAATATTGTGATGTTTATTTAAAAATTTTCAAGTTTGTTTCCTGTTCGCCATCCCAGTATACACAAAATTATTTTTTCATTCCTTTATGGAAAAAAATTTTTTTTATTTCACCAAGACAGATAGTATCAATGAATAACATTAAAGCTGAGATTATTAATAGGAAGAACGCGTAAATTAAACAAAAGCAGAAATAGAATAAATGCAATTTACAATGATTTTTTTATTTATTTCCGACAACTTTTATAATCCCCATCTTTATCAATCTTTCAATTGTTGGATCGGCCTTTCTAACTTTCATTTGAGAACCTTTTCGAAATTCAATGAACCCGTTTAAAGTCATTAATTCACCTAATTGTTAGACATTATTATTATTATTTTGATAGACAGTAGCAATCCGATTAGTGTAATCATAGTACAAAATAGAGTAGTTGTATTACCAATATCCTGAAGTACTCTAACGACGACAATGGCCTCTCTAGGAGGTATCAGACTTGCTGATAAATTAATTTCTGGTGGGTATTCCATCTTCAACGCTCTCAATAAATCCATGTAATCCCTGTGAAATCTTTTTTCCTCTTCAGATAAATTCAACCATTCTTCTTCTGAATATGGAATATCTTGGATTGATGCCGTTCTAATTTTCTCTAATCGTTGCATATTATAAAGTCGTAATACGTTAACATCGTGGTTTTGAATTATACATGGGACTAAGCGATTCGCTGAAATGCTTTGTGAAGAACTGAATATAGCGCGAATTGGATTATTCTCGGAGTTTTGATTTCCTAAAGAGGGTGTCGTTTCCTTTTCGACACCGGGTGTCTGTTCCACTTGGCTTTCTAACGTGTAAAATCCTTCAATAACATTTTCAACAACGTCATTTTCATAGTGTGAAAAGGATTGCGCTTTTATTAAACGCTTAGTTACGTCTAATAAAGACGACGCCGGTAGTCCGTTGTACATAATATGTAAAATGTGAACAGATTGATTCTCGTATTCCTCAACGCGATCGTGATACCAAATTATTCACGTGATATAAAAATTTTCTTAAATAGTAAATGATTTGATAAATACGTGCCGTACAGTACAAGATGGAGGCTAATGATAACGAAGCAACATCGTTCGCGGAAATTGACTTATCTTCTTCAGCTAATTTCGGTACAACGACTTTAGAAAACACCTCTTTTGGTGACGCTGACGCTAACACCTCGGGAACAACTACTCCAACTCACGAAGGAATAGCAGCGGACAATATTAATAATGCTACCAATTTATCTTCGGATAAAGATAAATTTGCGAAAGGGTTATCTATTTTATTGAAACCTGTCATTGAAGAGATGGATACCAGAATTATTGCTGTTAAATCTAGTCAGTCAGAACTAAACAAAGAGATTGAGAGACTATTAGCAGGTACCTACTATTCTATTATTACATAATTTGCAATTATATTTTCTGATTTTAAATTTTTATTGTCTCCTATGTCTGCCTAATATATTACAAAAGAACTACAATTGTTTGTTGAAGCAGCCGAATCACCACCAATTCAACCTTCGATCCAAAAACTGATTACTGCGCGAAGAAAATTAGTCAATGCTAATCAAACTCTAAAAATCGTTCACGATAGGGTCGACAGGATGTATGCTCAATTGAATAAAGAGAGTAATATTCATGCCTAATATACATGGCTTATATTTTTTTTTTGGCGAGAATATATTGTACAAAGATTTATAAAAATTATTTATTAATTCTCTATCAGATTAGTATTAATTTATTTTTTTAATTTTCTGTCAAATTAGTTTTTTTTTTTTTTTAATTATTAGTCAGGCTAGGTATGTGTGTTTTATTAAACATTTGTATGCTTTACATTTGGAATGTTTTACTAAAGCTAAATCTCTACCTAATTCACTTGTTTCTAGTTTATAAATTTTTTAAAACCTTAAGTGCAACTTCAGGAGTCATTTATTGTTCCATTAGTAGTTCAGATAAAAACCCTTTCAGCTACTAACTTTATAGCCTGCAAGTCACTACTGCAGATCATTTTGCAAGGTTTTGACAAGGCTTAAAATTCCAATTACTTCATTTCATATTCAACTCTTCTTGTCAAAACCTTCTTGAGATTTTTATCTTTTAATTTTTTTTTTACTAAAGGCATGGTTTTCAAGTTTGAAAGATACTAAGATCTTTTGATCTTGTTTTCTTTATAGGTCTTCTATAATCATTTTTATTTAATTAATTTCTCATATTTTGTGTTTCAAATTCTTTTTTAAACTTGATTGCAAATTCTTTTTTATATTTTTGGCATCTATCTTTTTGCTTCTTTTTTTATTCATTTTTTATGACATTTTAAATATGTCATTTTTTGAATGAGATTATTTCTTATAAGACTAACACAAAAGTTTAAGATATCTTAACTAGTTTTTCAGATTTGTTTTACTAATTCAAAAATCTATTTGTCTAGCTCCTCTAATTTTTTATATTTATTTATGCTTAGCCTAATATTTTTCCTTTAACCTCATTTTTTCTTTTTTGTAAAGTCCTTTAAAGTTTTTGAGAATTTTATTTATTTTTTTTTTTTATGTTTCTTATATTTGATTTTTGTAGGTTAGATATTCTAGCAAGTGTTTTATTATTTCAACTTGATTATTATATATGATGTATTTTACTTGCTTATATAAATTAGATCTTCTAATAGTTAGTTTGTTTAAGATTAATAGTTTATTATTAATCAATTTAATAAAAAAACTTCTTTATTAAAATTATTTAAAATATATATTTCATACAGTATATACTGTATATCTGTTTTTATCTTTTTTTATATTAAACTTTATATATGAACTTGTTGATCTAAAACTTGATAACACTATTTTTTTTTTTTTGTTGTATCTACTGATAAATACTAATTTCATTATTTATATTTTTAATAAACTATTTGATTAAATTATTTATAATTATATCCTACTATTTTATTTTTGGAATAATCATATATAAGATAAAATTATTTTATTCAATTGATGAAAATTTTAGAAACTTATTTAATTAGAAAACTGTTTCTTTATTATAAAGATTATTGACATATACTTTACATTAATAAGCTTTGGATTTATATAAGTATATTTTTTAATTAACTTAGTTATTTATATCCTAAGAAACCAGTTTTTCTTCTTTAACTATCTTTAAGAATTTTTTTTAGGTAGTTTTTATCTCAAGAAAAAAATATATAAAAAACCAGTTTATACAACTAGTCAACAGTTTTATGAATCAATATATTATAAATTTAATAGATAACTTCTATATATTTAAAATTTCTTTTAATATTATTTCAGTTTTGATAGATTAACTTTCTACAATTGGGATTACAACAAGTTATAAAATAAGTTCTTTTAACTAAAATATAACTTTATTGAATTGTTATTTAATAATAAACAGGTAACATATCCTAGAATAATACTCTATATAATAATACTACATAAATTTTAAATAAAACAGGATTGAATTAATATTTAAAAAAAATTTTTTTATATATAATATAATACTAAAATAACTATGATAATTATATAATAGTTCTATATATAAAAAAATATAAATATAACCTCTTTCAATAACTTAATAAAATAATGAATCTTTTGATAGATATTATAATAATAGAATTATAATCTATCAATAATTTATAACAACTCTTTCTGCTAATCCTCTGACCACATACAAAAAAGATATTCACAAGAAGTTTTTATACTTCTTTGCTAATAAAGTCTTAATACTTTCATTAAAACAACTTGAAGTATGACTTCAA